GACATGACAACCTGCATGGAAACATTCGAAAAGGAGATGTTTTGCCGCTTCCCCCATAGACACAACGACGCCACAGGAAAACGAGACACACAGACAAGACACGTGGATGCAGAAAAACGAGCATTTCGTACGAGACTTCCTCCAATTTTGACATTTTCGACACGTTATCAAACACGTTGGAATGTCACAAAGTGCCACGCCTGCCACGCAAAACGACATGACAAGCTGCTTGGAAACCTTCGAAAAGGAGAGGTTTTGCGGCTTCCCCCATAGACACGGCGAAGCCACAGGAAAACCAGAGACTCGAGACAAGACACGTGGATGCAGAAAAACCAGCATTTCGTACGAGACTTCCTCCAATTTTGACATTTTCGACACGTTATCAAACACGTTGGAATGTCACAAAGTGCCACGCCTGCCACGCAAAACGACATGACAAGCTGCTTGGAAACCTTCGAAAAGGAGAGGTTTTGCGGCTTCCCCCATAGACACGGCGAAGCCACAGGAAAACCAGAGACTCGAGACAAGACACGTGGATGCAGAAAAATCAGCATTTCGTACGAGACTTCCTCCAATTTTCATAGTTTGAAACATGCCGCAAGAACATGTTTTCCAGCTTCCCCCATAGACACGGCGAGGCCACAGGGAAACCAGAGACTCGAGACGAGACACGTGGGAGCACCAAAACGAGCATTTCGTGCGAGACTTCCTCCAATTTTCACACTTTGTAGCTTCAAAATCGACGTTTTCCTACGAGTTTTCCTTAGAACGTGAAAATTTGCAACCTCAAAATCGATGTTTCGTGCGAGGCTTCCGTCAATTTTCAGCACATGTCAGAAAATGCCACGCCTGCCACGGAATTTGCACCTTGTCGCCACTTGACGCAGCCCTGCCAATGCGATTTGCAAAAAACACGCAACATGACACGTCTAAAGTGCTGCGCCTGCCACGAAAAATGGCGATGGACACGTCCAAAGTGCTGCGCCTGCCACGAAAACTGCAACACATCTTCTGAAAACGTCGCAAAAGTATTGCGCCTGCCACGCAAAACGACTTTCGACACGTTCCAGAACACGTCTGAATGTCACGAAGTGCCACGCCTGCCACGCGAAACGAAGCAACGACACGTCTGAAACCTCCAAAAATGACCACCTCTGCAGAACTTCCCATAGGCACGGCCATACGGTCCTCGCGCGGACGGTTGCGGACGGTTGCGAACGGTTGCGGACGGTTGCGGACGCGGACGCAACGTCGAGCGAACACACTCCAACCCCCAGACCCCCAGAGTGAAACGGGAACCCTTGCTACGCATTCGGGAAAAAACCATTTAGACCATGGTTATGCCAAATTACTGGAGGCCAATCCCAGTCCAAAATGATCCACAATATCGTAACCCCAAAAAGATAGAAACGTAATTCACCACGTTTTTGCGTAGGATGTGACCGGATGTGATGGTTCTATCATGTTCTATCTGTTTGGGGTACTCGTACTATACGGTTGGTGGTTTACATCATCCGAGCGGAAAATCTATCCGATCGGCAGCGTGGTGGGTGATTTTAGCTGGGGTGAATCCTCGAGCAGGTGACTATATTACAGTATATTACATTATATTATGATATATTATGTTATATTACATTATATTATATTATGTGTCATTATATATATATATGTATATGTAAACTATATATATGTAATATATATATGTAATATATATATTATTATTATTATCATTGTCATTATTTTTACTATTATTATTTATTATTATTATTTATTATTATTTACTATTATTATTACTATTATTATTTATTATTATTTATTACTATTATTATTGTTCTTGTTCTTGTTGTTGTTGTATTTATTTTATATATATATATTATGTATATATATATTTATTTACTATATACATATATCAGATGTACATAAAGTATCATATATACACGGAAGTGGCATTTAGTAAGTAGCATTGATGCCTGGGCTGTAACCAAGGCCAGTCATCATTCTAAAGCGCCACATTAAAAGCTGCAGGCATGCAGGAAAATTTCATGTAGAGTTTCGCCATTTTTTCCCATGGTTTTCCCATATCTTCCCATGATTTCCCATATTTGCCCATGGTTTCCCGGGTGCCCCGGCTCCACCGAGCTCCACCGAGCTCCGTTTTTTCGTTCCGCCGCTCAGTAACTGGGTGGAGCGGCGGATGGAGCCACAGATGCAGCGGAAGAACCTGGAGAAGTTGCACCAACTGCCAGGTTTTGGATCATTTGGAATGGGGGTACCCCAGTTATTGGATGGTTTTTCTACTGAAAACATATTTTTTTTATTGCCCCCAGGTCCTTAATTTTGACCCATACCCAATTACCCTCTGGTAAACTAACATAGCTATTGAAAATGGCCATAGAAATAGTGAGTTTTCCCATTAATAGCATGGTGATTTTCCATAGTTATGTAAACGTTTACCAGAGGGTAAAATAATAGGGATATTAGGAAACATTTTATCGAAAGCCAGGGACTTGACTCACAAAATTCCTATTTTTGCTCTGGAAAAAATGTTATCTGGTTGCTGGTTTGGAACCATGGAATTTTATGACTGTCCCATCATATTGGGAATCATATTCCCAACTGACGAACTCATATTTTTCAGAGGGGCTGAAACCAGCAACCAGTAGGGATATTAGGAGACATTCTACTGATGTAATATGATGTAATCACATATATATATATATCATCATGTAATGGGATGGTAATGATCATTTTGACTGGAGGTATTATCGGGATATGGAGATAAAGGTGATATGGGGAATGGGTCAAAACCATTCAGCACCATTTAATTACAATGTTTGGGGATAACCATCCACTAACTAGTTATTTTAATGTACCTAGGGCACCAAGGTTTTGACCCATAACCATATAATTGATCAAACATAGCTCGCTAGCCCCCATCACCCCCCCAATGGTATGGTACTGTACCCCCCTTTCCCCAACAAAATCTCTCAGTTTGCATACTATTTGCAGCATTTCAGAGCCATAGGATAAACCTATGTGATTTTGTCAAGTAAGGGAACCTATTTTTCAGAACTTCAAGCAGAGAATCAACCGTTTTTTTGGTGGTTTTGAAGATCACATAAAAACGGTTATTTGTTGGATTATCACATATCCCCAATAGTTGGGTACTGTTCAAATATCAACCTTGGTCGAGATCTGGGTATCTGGAAAGCACCACAGTTGCTGCTTGGGAAAAAGTTTTTAAAAAAGGACCCGGGATCACTAGGTAAACCAATTCAACTTTGGGTTTTGGTAGGTGAATTCTAGTCGTTTTCGATGGAGAAATATACGCTACGATGATCTATGATGATCGGTGTGGGTTTGTCTGGAAAAGGAAGATAATTACCCTCAAATGATTGGAAACATGGTTGCAAACCAATGTGTATAAACCATTTTTTGTTCACCTACTTTGTATTGAAAAAAACATGAATCATTTAATAAATCGTTTCTTCAATGGTTAAATCAAATTAGTTTCTTATGTGTGATAGCTAAATCCCCCATATTTGTGAAGTAAAAAACCACCATTTCTCATCATTTCTCTATGTAATTTTACCGCATCTTTGGTGTTGTTTCGCAGGTCCTGCGGCTCATACCTTCTCCAACTTGACCACTCAAGTCTATGGTGAATGGGGTGCCTCGCAGTGGTTGGATCTTGCTGGTAGCGGGTTGAAAAATCCCATCGGCAGATGTGTCACGGTCAAGAGCTGTGTTACCCTCCGGTAATTTGTAACATAACTATGGAAAATCACCATTCATTTATAGTGTTTTTCCCCATGAAAAATGGTGGATCTTTCCATTGTTATGTAACAAATTACCAGAGGTTTCTCGGTTTCTCAGTCCTTGATGGTCATCAATCCTGAATGGGGAATGGGGTGATGATAACAAAATGGGGATGGATCATTTATATGATCGAAACCGAACATCCATAAATCCTCAGCTACTTTAAGGTGTGAAGGGTACCAGGGGAATTTACTCAGCTAGGAGTGGCTAGGAGTTATACAGCTCTACCATGCTCTACCCATTTACGGTATGGGTTACACACTTCGTAGTTGGATCCCATTTGAGCAGTGGCTGCTCAACCCCTTGTTTGATGATTGTAGCAGGTTATTTCACCCTTTATATATATATTATATTTGGGCTGAAATCGTCATCCATGAACTGGGACTGAAGCTAGCCGTCCATGGCCAATGACTTGCCATTTCGCTTTACCGCAGTATGCAAGTTATCTTGGGTAGTTTGCGTGGTTGTACTAAAAGCAAAAAAAGAGCAAAGCCCTAAAAAGGCTCGAAAAATGAGTTTAGTGTCAAATCTTGGTGTTCCAAATTCCTGTGCTACAGTATCTTTTTGGGGATTACTGGGATTACCAAAGAAACTCGACACGATTTTTCGAGGGTCTCCGAGGATCAGATGGAGGTTCCCAACGATGGAGGTTACCCTCCAGTAGACTAACAGTTTACTATGGTATAGACAGCCCTTTATAGATTATTTACTTCTATAATCCTCTATATATGTATGTGTATATATACATACATATTTAAAATTGTGTTTGTCCATAGCTATGGTAGTTTACCAAAGCGTATCACTTATCACCATGGCTTTTATGTCCGTCAACAACCCCAACCGGACCACCAAGTACAAGATGACTCAGAAAAACAACAGGTCAGAAACTTCACTGACGTGTTTCTGATGACAAAATCAGATACTGTGAAGATTCAACATGCGCAACCTCAATCTTCATTTGCGGTGTCCTGAGGTGTTCGACTACGTGGCCCGGGCTCGAAATGCCCCACGCCCGTTTTCCTTTTCATCCGCAGACGGCCATTTGAGCCATGTTGCAATGCTGTGAAAATGTCGCGCGACTGCCCTTTGCATCAGCCTTTGCAATTTGATCCACAGTGCGTTCAGCAAGCACTAGTGTGAGTTGGTATACCGGAGCCGCCGTGCTTCGCTACTGGTTTCGCATGGACGCTGCCTCCGAGTTCGAAGCTAATGGATGGTCACCTACGCTGTCTTCCAATGGACACGCTCCAACGACATCCTTCACAGCCCGAACCAATCTGAGTGAAACCCATGCAAGCAACCATGTGTTTGAGTATGATGATAACTATGATGATAGCTCGGACGTTCCCTCACTGGCCCGAGCTGTTGATGGAGAAGATGAAAACCTATGGTTGTGTCGAGCGTGTGACAGTGCGGACTGGAGAGTTAGCCCTGGCCATGGATGGGCATGCATGCGATGTGGCAATGATACCTTCTATGATGCCTTCACCTCCACAACCTTCGCTACGAGAACGGGCAGTTGGATGTTTGTGCCAAATGCCCCACCTAGCAATGCTGGCAGCCGTAGAAACCATGATGATCCAGATGATGCCTCGCTGCAGGAAGCCTATGCTGAGTCCGAGACAGTGACAACAGACCCTTCGGTCGACCCAGCCACCTTATCTCCAATGAATATGTCGAGACGTCAGCGTAGAGCCTTGAAGCGTCGTAATCCTGGCAATCCTAAAGTTGCACGAGGTCACAACGTTCCACGAGTTCCCAAAGTGCCTCTTGACCCTAAAGCTCATCAAGATCCCAAAGTATCCCAAGATCCTAAAGTATGCGATAGTTTCACAGTTCCTCATCACTCAACTGGCTTTCCTAAGGAACCTGCTTTGACCGCCTCACCTGCTCGCGAACTTTTGAACTCCAAAGGTGGCCCGGGCAAGGGCAAAGGCTATGGCGGCACTGGAAGTGATGCAAGTTCAAAGCATGCTGGATGGCGAGATGCAATGCTGCGGGATCTACATAGCATGACTGCGAAGAATGCTGAGGAGAAGCCCTGGTCCATTCGAAAGGGGCCAGCACCTGGCTTGAAATACCGCGGTGGCACACCTCCTGCACCACCGCAATGGACATACAACAAAGGAGATCTCCAAGCATTTCAGCGCTGGGAACGCAAGTTGATCGTTTGGAGGCGACAGATTGCCTCATATCTTCCTCCAAACGAAGCTGCAATGATGCTCTATGTCAGTCTGAAAGGAGAAGCTGAAGAAGAGCTTGAACATGCAAGCTTGGACCGCATCGACTCTGAGGACGGTGTGGACTACATCCTCGAGACTTTGAGAGCTCCATTGATGGTCAAAGGTATCTACTTGAAGCGCAAGTTCTTGGACGAGTTTGAGCGTCTGCAACGACGCCATGGTGAATCTGTGAAAAGCTTTTGCAACAGGTATCACCGTGTTGAGCGTTCACTGCAGAGTGTCGGTGTTGACACAAGCAACATGTATGATACCGAGGCTGCAGGATCTCGTTTGCTGGATAGACTTCGACTTGGCATTGATGCCCAGCGAATGATCTTGGTGGCAACATCTCAGTCTTTGAGATATCAGGATGTCAAGGACGCTGCCGAGATTCAGTTTCCTGACCATCGTCCTACGCCTCCAGTGGTCTACACCAGAGACTTTGACAAGGAGGATAAGCCACAACAGCCCCGAGATTCGAACAAGCCCAACAGCAACTACCGACCTCCTGCCCAACAAGGCAAAGGCCAACAGAAGGGCAAGCCCAACCAGAACTCTGCCTTTGTCAAAAAGACCTACGTTACCGAGACCGGCGAAAACGCCGACGATGCCAAGGATGACACGCAGGATGACCCTGCAGCCAATGATGAGCCCAATGAAAATGACGAAGATGCAGCCGAAGGACAAGATGATCCTGAATATCAACAAGCAGCTGACGATGATGAAGACGGCCAAGATGGCGATGTCTTCCATGAACTTCAAGAAGCAGCCAATTGCCTGACTGTGACTGCCCGCAGATTGCAAGGCTTGACACTGGGCCGCAAGTTCACTGGCGGCAAAACAATCAAGCAGCGCAAGCAAGAGTCGCACTGCTCAGTGTGCGGCGAAAAAGGTCATTGGAAAGGTGACCCAGAATGTAGCGCCACTGCAGACTCCAAGGGCAACGACAACAGCCGAGGCAAAACCTATGGCAAAACGTCAGCTGGATCCTCCTCTCAGAACAAGCCTCCTGCGAAAAAGGTTTTGCATGTGCAGCATGGGGATGGAAGCCGGCGATCAGTCACTTTTGAGGATGAATCCAAAGATGTCACCGAAAAGACCTATGGCACGTTTTTCACATACATGGTCACACACCACATCGCCGACACCCATCAAGTTTTTGGCAATTTCAACCCCAAGTTCACCAAAGTGATGGTTTTGGATACCGCATGCCAGAAATCATGTTGCAGCACTGCATGGTTGGATGGTAAGAAAGCTTCACTAGCAGAGTTCAAGCTTCGAGCGCGCACCATCCCCAACAGAGAGCCTTTTGAATTTGGACATGGACCCACGCAATACAGTCATGAACATGTTCAAATACCAGTTTGTTTTGATGAGGTTGAGAAGAACATGATGCTGATTGGTGCAAGTGTTATTTCAACTACTAACAATATTGCCTTCCTCGCCAGCAGCGATCTCATGACCAACAAGTTGAAGATGGTGTTGAACTTGCCATGCCAGGAAGCCTTCATCGGGTTGCTCAACACCACCGTGCCCATCTGTCAGATTGCAGGCCACTTAGCACTGGACATTTCAAAGTTTCCGAAGATGGCCAGCAGTTCGCAGATGTGGAGACAATACCATGAGATGTGTTTGCAACCCGACCATGATCCTGAACTCCTCTATTTCTCTGCAGAAGGCTCAAGCGATCAATTCGATTCACGACACCGTGATTCCCATGAACAAGGGACCACCACCAGCATGGCTGCAGAACTGGCGAATGATGGTTCGCCGATTCCGACATGTCGAGATGTGGATGGCCACCATGATGGTGCAAGCAGTGCGGCTGGGCCTACGACCTCGAAGATGGATCCAACACCAAGACCCGTTGGACATGGAACTCCAAGAGGCCCTGCTGAACAAAGCCACCAAACCATGTGCTCACGAGAAGATGCACCGTTATGGGAATCGAAGCGGAAGCTTCGCCAAGTGCCTGATGTGCGAGAAAAAGTGGAAGTGGTCCGAAGACGAAGATCGATGGACAGACCTGGTATCCTCCAAGCGGCAGCCACTGCCATTGCCTTCATCTTCAACAGCCTCGAACTTCCTGGACAAAGCTCGACGCCCAGCTTGGGCACTGATGGCAACTTCTTCGAGTCGTCGGCCGAAACAACGTCGCAGGGCACAGCAACACCTTTGACAACTGCGACAAGACAGCCACGAGGAGCCAGACCAAAGAACTCAAGCAAGAAGAGATCAACTCCAACCGAGGAAGTGGAGGAGGTGGAGAGCTCGGAGTACGAATGGGAACAAATAGGTTGAAGAAAGGCAATCAAACCCGGCTGACAGGCCATCTCCGGAGCACGGCCAAGATCTACGACTTTGAGACAAAGACCTATGAGGCCCTGCTCACCTATGCGGAGAAAATGGCAACTGGTCCCAAGATTGACCTTTTAGAAGTGTTTGCAGGTTCGGCCAACCTGACATTCCGTGCTCCCAAGTTCAACCTGAACGCTCTCGAGCCCATGGACAAGACCATCAACGTGGACTTGAAAACCGAAGAGGGCCGCAAGTTCCTTTGGCGAGTAGTCATGAAGTTTCAGCCACTTCTGATTCACGTTGCCTGGCCCTGCCGCTACTGGTCATTGTTCAACGAGAACATGAATTACAGCCACAGGTTACAGGAACTTGAAGAACTACGCAATGATGAGCGGGTCCTTGTTGATTTAGGATCCGACCTCATGCATCACCAACATCAGCAAGGACGCCTTTACCTGGGCGAAAATGTGCAACGCTCTCGCATTTGGGTTCAACCTTCAGTGGAGTCCGTTGCTGAATTGCCAGGCAACCTGATGACCCAATGCGATGCTGGCGCATATGGCGCCGAAGATTCACAAGGGTACCCCATTGTGAAGACCCACCGCTGGACCACAAATTCTCCAGCGATTGCCTCAGAACTCTCAAGGAGAATGACTCCTGAGCAGAAGATGTATGCAAAGCCAATTGAAGGCGCTGAGACAGAACCAAGTGGCCACTATTGCGATGGACTGGTCGATGCGATCCTTCGTGGACTTCAGAAGGAAGCTCGCATCAGAGACCCAGCACGTTTTGTAAAAGCCAACAAGGTGTTCTATGCACACCCCTCCAGTGATGAGCAGCTTTGGTCACCAATTTTGGATGAGTTGGAGCGGCGCTTTGGAAACACCAGCAAAAGGCCCTACAACATCGCAACCAGTGACCCAATCTACAGAGATATCGAGAATCTCATCCCTTGGCAACTTGAGCGAGTTCAGGTCACGTGGACACCATCAGTCAGAAGGTTTCCCACTGAGTTTGCCTACACTCATCGTGGCGCTGTGCTCAGACTGGCCAATGGGAAAATCTTGATTGAGCATGAAGACCTCTCACAGGTCGTCTACCCCAAGCAGAGGTACACTGATCCCATGCGACTTGGGATATACTTCTTTGGAACGGCCCCACAAGATGATGATGAAGAGCCACCTCCACCACCAGAAGTTCCAGAAGCTGATGCTCAAGCTCAACAACGAGTTCCAGGCATCACCACCGACATCTGGTTTGAAGGTGCCGGTGCCACTCTCAACAAAGAGCTGCAGAAGTCATTGGCACGACTTCACACCAACATGGGCCACCCGCCGAAGGAGGAGCTGATTCGCATCTTGGCAGCCTCAAACACTTTGTCCTCAAGGGTGTTGACGGGCATCGAATGTTTGCGATGCGGAAGCTGCCTTCGTTTGACAGTTCCAAAGAAGCCACCAGTTTCCTCAACAACAGCCATAGCAGCAGGTCAGTTTGGAGATCGCATTCAATCTGACATTGTCTACATTCGCACTCTCAATGACAACAACATAGTGATTGGCATGGTGGACGAGTTCACAAACTATACAGTGGCACACACCTTGGAAGACCGAAGCCCAGCCACTGTTTTGAAGATGATGCAACAACTTTGGTACCACCCTCTTGGGCTTCCACACCATGTCACTGTCGACCCTGACACAGCCTATCTTGGAGAATGCGAAGAATGGCATCAACGCCATGGCATTGAGTATGAAGTGATTCCAGCAGAAGAGCACTGGCGAATTGGCAAGGTGGAGAGACGCAATACTCTCATGAGAAGCCTGGTCGAACGACTTGTGGATCACCATTCCATCACCTCCAAGGAAGCTTTGGATTCAGCGATCATTGCGGCGACTTTTTCACTAAATTGCTAAACATACAGCCACGGCCGCTCACCATTCCAGAGCGTTTTTGGCCGGATCCCTCGACCTCTTGGGGATCTTTTGTCAGATGAAAAGTCGCTGGTGATCACACACGACCAGACTGCCCACCAACTTCGACCAGAACTGCTGCGAGCTGAAGCCACTACAGCTCTGATGCAAATCACTGCATCTCAATCAGTGCGAAGAGGCCTGTTGAGGAAGACACGCAATCAGCAAGAGCTCAGCCACCTTCGACCTGGCCAAACAATAGCCTTTTGGAGATGGCAAGGACGAGCTCGACAACACAAGCGCGGCAGTTGGTCGCTCGGTCGATTTTTGGCTTTCGACCCTGACAAACGCTCCTGCTGGGTACAGGTTGGCAAGACATCAACTCGCATTGGCCTTGGTCAAGTTCGAGTAGCAGTTGGATGGGAGACTTGGACCCTTCCGAAGATGATATCAAACTCCTCCGTGATGCTGAAACCAACATCTCACATGGACTTTGGGATGATCAGCAAGGCGAACCTCCTCAAGATGAAGATATGGCCATTGCTGATGAGGAGATTTTCAACTTCAGACCCATCCAAGAACGTGCCAACCGATTGCCAGAGCTCTCAGGTGAGCAACAACAACCACCAGAGCAGAACCTTCAACGAGACCAATATGCCGATGGACTTTCTGGCATACCCCCGGATCGACAGCCCTTGGACTTGGCTACGATCCCCGGGTCGCTTGCTCAACCTTCTCCAGTGCAACAACAAGAGCAAGCAGGTCTCCAATCACCACGTGATGGCGAAGCACCACCACAACTACCTACACACCTATCGCAACAGCAACAGCAAACCAACACTTACATTGACCAGCGCACCATCAACGTGAGGGTTGATTCACCTACATATACCAGGTATGGAGGAAGATCAGATTTTGGGTCAGTTCCACCAACACCAAGAAATCGACCCAGATCAAGAACGCCAAGCAGAGCACCTCCTACCGAAGAGACTTCACTGGCAAAACAAAGACCAGCGGAAGCAGCACAACCTTCTCAGCCAAGCCAACTGCCTGAAATTGAAGCAGAACCAACAGCAATCGCAGAAGAACTGCCCATACTCCCGATGAAGAGACCAGCTGATGCCATGCTCACCAACCTCTTCCAGTGCGACAACAAAGACCTTGAACTGATGCAGCCCTATTGGGATGGTGGATGCAACTTAGATTTCCCACATCCACGTGCCGACAACTTCTATCAGGCCTACCTTGTGAGCGACCACAGAGCCGTCGAGATGAACGGCATGTCCAATCCAAGTCAGCCTGACCATGATTCCTCTGACGATGAGCTCGTGCTGTCAAACCAGCGCGGAATGTCTCGCCAAGAGTTGAAGCAGTTGGACCGGGAGATCCCTTGGCGCGAAATTGCCGGATCAGATCCCGACACTTTCCAGAAGTATGTCGACAGTGCTGCAAGTGAATATGCTGGTTGGTTAGCATGGGGCGGCATCCGACCGCTGAGCAAAGCAGAAGAACAACAGGTGATGTCAGACCCCAGACTTCGACGTCGGGTGATGAAATCACGCGCAGCTTACCGCGACAAAAACCGCGGAGTTCCACCACTGAAGCCAAAGACCCGAGTGGTCATCATTGGATGCTCAGATCCAGACCTGCGACAGCTGAGCCGAGATAGCCCTACGCCATCAAGAGTGTCTGAATTTGTGCTACTAGCCGTGGCAACAGCAGGCGCCAACGGTGAATTCGGCAACTCTACAAGCCGATGGTCTATGTGGTTGTCAGATGCCGAGAAAGCCTTTTTGCAGGGTTCCCAGGATGACACAGAACGAGACGGCCCAATCTACATGCAGAGCCCCCGAGATGACATCCTGAACGCTGCACAAGCGTATCCTGCAAGCCTCTATGAGATCACAGGCAATTGCTATGGACTGAGTAATGCACCTCGCACCTGGTACAAGAAGGTTGACAGAGACCTGATCAAAGGCAAATTTCACAGACACAGCCTTGACCGCTGCTGCTACTACTTTTTGGATGCAGATGGCAACCTCTCCTGCCTCCTCATCGTCCATGTCGATGACTTCATGGCTGTCTTCAACACCGAGACCTTTGACCTGAAGATCCTTGAGAATATGTTGAAATGGGGATCTACCACTCTGATCACCGAGCAAACACCAGGTGAATATCGCGGCAAAGAAATCCAAATGACCAAGGATTCCAATGGCCGCTACAGCTATGTGGTGACTCAGACCAAGTTCATCAAGGCCATGGACTCCGGAAAAGTGCCATCTGCCCGTGTCAAAGAAGGCGGCAAGCTGAATGACAAGGAGATGGCCGAATTCAGGTCAGTTGTTGGAAGTCTTCAGTGGTTGAGCGGCCAAACACGGCCAGATTTAGCAGCTGTGGCTTCGCTGGCTCACAGAGGTTCCAACACCGAGATCAGCGACTTGCAAAAGGTCTACAAGGCCGTTGAGTACGCCAAGGCGACAAGTGATTGTGGCATTCGAATGCCTGCAGTGCCTTTGAATCGCACCACAACGATCCTGGCCTATGGAGATTCAAGCTGGTGCAATGCTGCAAATTTCACTTCGCAGTATGGCGTTGCAATTGTGCTATGTCCGGCACAAGTCTCAGAGACAACATGCTTTGGTTTTTTAGTTGACTGGAAGAGCGGACGCATGCAACGCGTTGCTCGCAGCACTCTGGCAGCAGAGGCTCATGCAGCAGACGAAGCTGCTGATAGGGCATGCTTCATCAACTACTACCTGACGGAGTTGTTTTTCGGCATTCCTGCGCAGAAGGCCAGAATGGAAATGCCGATGAAACAAGCAACTGATGCAAAAAGCCTGTATGACTGCCTAGTAGCTGAAAACCCAAGCACTTCTGAGAAGCGATCGATGGTGTCAATCCGCTCAGTGCAGCAAGCTATGTCTCCAAAGCAAGTGCACTGGATCCCAACGCACCTTATGCATGCGGATGGCCTCACCAAGATCGATGCAAAACTGCGAGAGATCCTTACCCGCTGGTGTATGAATCCATGGTGCCAACTTCGAGATGAAGACGCACAGGGCTCCAAGGTGAAGACCAGCAAGCACAGTGGATCCACGCAGAAAGCAACACCTCAAACAAAGACCAGTGTGAAGATTCAACATGCGCAACCTCAATCTTCATTTGCGGTGTCCTGAGGTGTTCGACTACGTGGCCCGGGCTCGAAATGCCCCACGCCCGTTTTCCTTTTCATCCGCAGACGGCCATTTGAGCCATGTTGCAATGCTGTGAAAATGTCGCGCGACTGCCCTTTGCATCAGCCTTTGCAATTTGATCCACAGTGCGTTCAGCAAGCACTAGTGTGAGAGATACTAAGATATTCAAAGGTATGAACATGGCAAGCATGACATTGGATAACGTTATCAAAACCAGTCATGACGAACAGACGCATACTTGCAATATCTTGCAATATGATATTGGTATTTGGATGCATATGCGGGATTGCGAAAATTGGGGTACCCACCAAATCATCCAAAACGATGCCATTTTAGCAATGAAGCCGGCATGGGCTTCTTAGGGTATCCCCCCCTTTGCGAAACATAGGAAAATATATGAAAATATATGAAAACCCATTATTCATTGATTAAAATGTCTGTGTATGATAATTGGATCAGCATTTTATCGATGATTGTCTTTTGTTCCGCTATATATCCCCGTGATATTCGGACAAAATGGATCAAAATGGTGGGTTTTACAGATATATTTTTGTCAGCGACAATGTCAGACAGAAAAGGCAAGACAAACGTCATCGTGGTGCTAATATTCTTTTATTAACCATTTATTAACTATTATTAACCAATATCAACAATTTATTAACCAATATTAACCCATATTAACCATTCATTGACCAATATTACATAACCAATATTAACCATTTATTAACCATTATTAACCAATGTTAAACATGTATTGACCATTGTTAACCAATATTAGCCATCTATTAGACAAAAAACGTCAATTCTTTGGTAAACATCAGAAGCTCCAGCCCCCAAGTCTTGGAACAAGCGAGGAAAGGAGAAGTCGCGCCAAGCGATGAATCGCACTGCCAGTGATCATTGGCTCCACATGAGCGCGCCAGGATGGGGTCCGACATCATGGCTGATGTGACTAGTGATTTATGACATACCCTCTGGTAAACAAACATAGCTATTGAAAATGTTCATTTATAGTTGGTTTACCGATGAAAAATGGTGATTTTCCATAGTTATGTTAGTTTACAAGAGGGTATGATGGTCCTATGATGTCCTGTTTTAATACTCTTGTGTGTTTTTAAATGTGTGTCGTATCAAGCAGTATGATAGACTATTATAGTGTTTGACTGTTTAACATTGTTTCACTATGGGTGATAAATCTCAGTTGGCTCAGTCAGTCGCAGTGAACCAGGCCCTGGTGGCCTGTTGCGAACATGCATTTATCCTCTGCACCACCAAAAGGATGGTTGAAACCCTATAAAGAATGGGATAAACCAGCAATCAACTGGTGACTCGGATTTCGCTCGCCCTTTTTAGAGGATTTCGCGAAGTGGAAAATCGCCATCGATCGCTAATAGGTAAAAGGAACTAAAGGTGCCATGGCTTCAATACTGTTAGTCATTACCAAAGGCTAAGAGTCCTTTTAGATTCCCAAAGGCTAAGAGTAATGTGATAAAGCCAATGGTAAAAGTTACCTTTTGGATCCTTTTGGGGATGGGTTGTACTACACCAATGGTGATGACTTGGGGATGGTTTATGATGCACGTTACTGTATATCAAACAGTAAAACTCAAGTCTGGTGATTTACTATGGTTTGCTATTGCCTCTGTCTCATGGACTTGTGGTGCCGTATCATGAGCGTCATGACCAGGGCTGTTTTGGTTCTCAGGGCGGATCACCCATAGAGTGTTGTCTCTCCCTTTTCCAGAAGGCTGATGGAAGAGGGATCCAGCAGTTCCGATGGATCCAAAGAACCCGTCACCTTCAGCTTCATGACGGAATACTCGCGATTGCCTTGCAACCAGCCACACAGCCAAAAAAAAGTTAAAGCGATTTATATAATCAGATTTTCAGTCGGAAGGGAAGATGACTATCATGATTAGGCTTACAAAATGTCAACATTAGAATTTCAATGGTTTTCGATGGTTTTCTCATTTTGATGTGGCTTTGATTGGCACCGATTTTTCGAGGTGTTTGTTCTTCGCCTCGGCATTTGGCTGCAAGCGTGGCGACGCCTGCGCGTTTTGCCACCACGTGATCCCAGAGAAGCTTCCGAGCGCCCGGCCGCGTAAAGCACGGCGTGATGCGCTGAAGGCTCAAATTTGGGGCCTGCTGCAGCAATTGGATGTGGAAAAGCAAGAGCCGCAGGAGACCTGGCAGACTTTTTTTTGGTGCGAAGATTTGTCTGTAAATGCTGGGAAGAACATTTGAGCGAAAGGGCTGCTGTATCCTCAGTGAATGTTGGGTATAAAATGTCTATCAATGTTTTATATAGTGTCACAATGCTTTGTACTTTAGATATAAGATATGCAGTTACTGTAGTTATGTGTATTACATACACTGACACAATGTGATCTTCCCATAATTGTTACTTGGACCCAATTTTTTTGGTTCCCCGGGAGTGACTGACACCGATTTGGTTGAGCTTGACCCCCAGGAAGTTGTCTACCAGTTGCAGTCCGCAAGTCGGCAATGTGAGTACAGCCGCGTCATCAGCCAGAATGCAGTAGATAGCCTGCTCCAGCAGGTTGAAATGAAGCATCGAGCACAGGGACACCCTGTACCCCCACGTGGTGAGACTTGCAACGAAAGTTGCGGGGCTTTGCACCGTTTCTCGGTGTAATTGCAGGTTCCTCCTCCCTTGTTCGTGTACTGTGCACAAAGGGTCAAAGTGCACAAAAAGTACACTCAAACAGGAGATCGGATATTGTATTATATGTATTTATGTCGGGTCGAAAAACCGTGAAAACCCGTACTGCCACCACAAACAGATCAATACAATATCAATACATATCATCCGACAGCACTTGAGACATAAGATGTGCGTTTGTCGCGTTTTGTTGGCAGTTTCCACTTGATGCATGCTGCTGTCAACAGCACAGCGTTTGTCTGCTCACATGACTGCTCTCACCGTCATGTCCAAGGACCTCTAACTCGACTGTGTCTCAGAAAATGATGCCATAGCATGCTGTGATGTTGAAAGTTTGTGATTATTACATGACTTGAGATTCTCTCGAACTAATTGCTCAAAATTGGAAAGTGTTTGGTAGTTTCTATTTGCTGATTCTTGATATTCTTGATGAAGCCATGCGAGACACAAGTCAAGAAAGACGCACAGTCCTAAAGCTGATGTCCAGAGCATTGAACCGCGGCCATATACATGATTCGGGAATACTCGGGATGTGTTTTTCTTTCTACACACTCGTATATCGTATTCAAATGTATTCAAGTTCAAACACTTTTTGCATCGCCTTCGTTTTCCATACCTCCACCCGAGACTTTGGTGTTAACAGTCTCACCAGGCTGCCATGCGTGCGCAATTCGCAAGTGGATTGCAAGTCCCTGGAGTAGCATGGTGATCAAATACAAACATGATCGCGTCTCGCAGAGAAAAAGGTCGTTCTGAGTCCAATTGGATCCACTCCAGGATTTCGAGGGTTTCCAATCCATGGGGTCCCTCAAAATCATCCAAATTAGACCATCCATGACCAGTTTAGTAAAGCCATGGTGACTTGGGGTTCCCCCCATGTTAGGAAACCTCCAATGTATACTTTCTATTCATTGTAAGGATTCCCCAAAGATAGGAGTCCAAACTGCTGAAACTGTGACGATTGATGCGGTGAATGTCTGTGGCTCTGGCAGTCATAAACCACCTGGATGTGGGGTGTGGACAAAGCATGACAAAGCCATGTTTTGATAAACCCAGCCGCAGAGTGGCTGTAGACTGTAGATGATATATATATATATTATGTATATATATATATTATGTATATATATATTATGTATATATATATTATGTATATATATATATAACTTTATTAATACTATTATATTGAAGCGAATAATGTGAAAGTTTTTTCACGTGGGTAATCGTGGTATAACAGGATATAACAGGCATCAAATTGACGCAGGCCGTCCATCGGTCACTTTTCGTTGGGGAATTGTGGGGATAGGATAGATAGATATGGGGGTTTCCATGAATGGGGGTACCCCAAAATGGCTGCTTTATAAGGGAAAATCTTCTTAAGGTTGATGATTTTAGGGGTACCCCCATTTTCAGGAAACCTCCATATGGATAGGATGGCTGCTTAGTTCCTCTGCATTTCAGTAAATGGGGCTCTAAAGAATATCTGAAACGAAACAATGTCAAGGTACCGCCAAACGGATTGTGTGGCAGTTGGGGTATCAATGGGGATTTTTGGACTGTCAACTGGAGAAGTGCCCGTCGCCGCCCTTCTCCAGCCCACATAGTCATACCAATCAATTGGGGCTTCCATGGTTTTCCTTAGGGGTTTCCCCCCTCAACGGGGGTAAACCCATCCAAAAAACACACCTTTAACAAGCTGGATGACCTGCTCAGCTGCGCAGGTCACGAGTTCTACCGTAGCAACTCGGAAGTGGAGTATCTTTGAAGCAGATGAGTATGGCAAGGTGTTTTTGTTGCCATGAAAAATTGCCTAGTTGATTGGTTAAAGAATGGTTAAAGGAAATTTTACTACCATGGGTGGTTGGGGATTATGAACTTACCGTAGGCAACCCAACAAGTTGAATTGTTTGAAGTGCTTTGAAACCGTAAAGTTGGAGTAGTAGCCTTTGCGTTTCATGGTTTATTTTCTCCATAAGTCAATGTTTTTTTCTGGGATTTGCCGGGGGGTATATCATGATTCACTAATGATTATAATGGTATATACTTCCCAGCTAATGGTATATACTTCCGATATGAATTGATGATTATAATGGTATATTAATTGATGATTTATTGCTAATGGTATATACTTCCTATATTAATTGATGATTATAATGGTATATAATGGTATATGAAAATTGATGATTTATTGCTAATGGTATATACTTCCTATATTAATTGATGATTATAATGGTATATAATGGTATATGAAAATTGATGATTTATTGCTAATGGTATATACTTCCTATATTAATTGATGATTATAATGGTATATAATGGTATATGAAAATTGATGATTTATTGCTAATGGTATATACTTCCTATATTGATTGATGATTGTAATGGTATATAATGGTATATGAAAATTGATGATTTATTGCTAATGGTATATACTTCCTATATTAATTCATGATTGTAATGGTATATAATGGTATGTGAAAATTGATGATTTATTGCTAATGGTATATACTTCCTATATTAATTGATGATTATAATGGTATATAATGGTATATGAAAATTGATGATTTATTGCTAATGGTATATACTTCCTATATTAATTGATGATTATAATGGTATATAATGGTATATGAAAATTGATGATTTATTGCTAATGGTATATACTTCCTATATAATTGATGATTATAATGGTATGGTATATGAAAATTGATGATTTATTGCTAATGGTATATACTTCCTATATAATTGATGATTATATATATAATGGTATATGAATTGATGATTTATTGCTAATGGTATATTACTATATGGATATTTATACTTCCTATTGATTTGATGATGATGCTAATGGTATATAATGGTAATGGTATATAATGGTAAAAATTGATGATTTATTGCTAATGGTATATACTTCCTATATTAATTGATGATTATAATGGTATATAATGGTATATGAAAATTGATGATTTATTGCTAATGGTATATACTTCCTATATTAATTGATGATTATAATGGTATATAATGGTATATGAAAATTGATGATTTATTGCTAATGGTATATACTTCCTATATTAATTGATGATTGTAATGGTATATAATGGTATATGAAAATTGATGATTTATTGCTAATGGTATATACTTCCTATATTAATTGATGATTATAATGGTATATACTTCCTATATTAATTGATGATTATAATGGTATATAATGGTATATGAAAATTGATGATTTATTGCTAATGGTCTACTATATACTATTATATACTATTATTATGATGGCTAAAGCTTACCATTGCCGCACGAAAGGGGAATCCATGGATTGGCTCGAAACTGCTCGACGGGCGGTGGCTCGACGCTTTCGCTGTCTTCGCAGTTTTTAACCAACCACCAGTTGTAGCAGAAATTCTGGGGTTATGCCGGCTTTATATGGTTTTTTATAGCTTGAAATAGCAAAGACTGTATAGTTTTATATAGCTTTATATAGCTTGAAATAGCAAAGAATGATCTGAATGACCCGAGCGTTGTGGTTTCCACTCAAAAACCAGCTCAGATTGTGCTGTGCATCCGTTCGTCCTCATTTTTTCTCTGTTTTCGCCTACCAAAGTTGGTAAATCAAACCTGGCCAGGAAAATGGCCATGTGACTCAATGAGGAGTTTCCCATCAAACTGGTTTTGAATCCCTTAGTAAAAAAGGTATGTTCATTGTGGATTTGATCGAATTTCTGGGTCAACCTTGAATGGGTTTCGTACTTTAGCCTGTTGCTATGGAAGATCTACTAACCAGCTATTTTATTTGTGTTTTGCAGGATATCTAACATTGGCAAATGATTTTAGTGCTGGAAAAGGATCGAACATGAAGTTTAAGTCGGTAAATGAGGATCACCCATGTTTTTTCCCCGGCTTGCAAGCATTTACTGTACGAGTTATGGAATGAATAAGCCTTTATTGCTGGTGAAAACTCATGATTTTAAGAACCCGATGTCCGGTTTTACAAGATCATCTTCGAAGCGTTTACTGAAAATTGAGTAACCCCAAATTTGATGGTGTATCATTATTTTGGATTTTGTTATAACTTGGGTCAGTTTACATTTGTTCAAGCACATCCCGCAGCATAGATCATTCCCAGCATTGGTTGAAGGAAGAAGTTACAGGAAACTATGTATTATATACATATAATTATAATAATAGATATGTACATATAATAGACATAGATATGTAATATATAGAACATTATTATATGTACTATATGAACATAGAAATATATATATATATATACATAGATATGTTTATATGTTGCCAGCATTATACACATATACATATTATTATTATTATTATTATGTACATATAATTATAGATGTTCTAAGATAACTAGTTTACCCTCTGGCAACCAGACATGACATTGCCATGTTCGATCACCGGAGAACCGGGTAGCTGCATCGATACATCGAGACTTGCGGAGGTTCTGCCACCCCTCTGAGCAAGTGCCAAAGTTCAAAGCATTGCACATTCCAGAGGATGGCGGCGGCATCAGGTCCGCACTCTTCCACCCTAATCGTTTTTTTTAATTTTCACCAGAAACCAAGGGGACTTTACGTGGTAACAATGAACCCCCAAGAGAATTAAGTGAGATAGATGTGCCAGTATCTCATTAGCACATAGATGATCCAGTCAAATGATATGTGTATTGGTTTGGCAGCCCAAGGTTCTTTGGAGTAGCATGATTTTTGGGACACGCCTGCAATTTGTAGACGCACTCATATAATATGTGTTCAAAAACATATTTATATATACACATATACATCATATATATTTATATTATATGCATTTATATCATATATATATATATACATATATCATTTATACATATGTATATATACATCATATTATATTTATATCATATATCATACATTTATCAATATCATATACTTACATATACATTTACATATACATATACCCATATATATATATATATATCACATATATATATATACATAATATGGCACAATATGTATGTGTCTATATATTCAGCCACAAACGGTGGTTCATGTGGCACTGCGGGGTTTGTCAGATGTCCAGGATTGGGATATGATTTATATATTCCCCAGTGTGGAAAAGAATT